ATTAAACCAAAAATATTATTTCGTTATTAAATTTAAATTAAATTATATTAAAACAATAAACTACATAAAAAATGAGAACTTTTAAATAGTTGATTTGATATTAACATTGATATATTTTTTTCAAATATTTATGATATCTTCAAATTTATATTTTATTCAAAAATAAAATCATTATTGTTTTCTTAAAAAAACACAAAATCGTAGTATAACATCGAGATATGTTTCGTTGCATTACACGAATACTCTTCTAGTATTATATAAAAATTTAAATTTCTCTAGAATTTTATGCATTAATATTCTCAAAAGTTTCTAAATGTTGCTCGACCTCAAATTCTAATATTTTTATAATGTTGCACTTTTCAATATATATTTTAAAATTATGTTCGTGTTTTAATTTTTTTTCCAAATATATTAAGTAAATATATAAATTAATAGACTTAATAGGAAAATTTTGAAAATTAATTAATATATATGAGTAAATTACACTTATGGTTAGCCACTTAACTTTTAACGGTCATTCTACTTTTTGAAAATCAAACAAAATGTGTCTTTGTGGTTGCATTTAACAAGTACTAGAAGGGTACTCGTGCAACACTGCAATGTATCGAGACACATCTTGATTTCAGCGTTTCGTTTTATTCTCTTTTTATGTCGATATAATTCGATTTTATGTGTTTTTGAGAAAACGATAATGTTTTTATTTTTGAATAAAATATAAATTTAAAAATATTATAAATTTTTAAAAAAATATATATCAATATCAATATTAAATTAATCTTTCTAAAAGTTTTTGTGTTTGGTGTAATATCCTTAATTCAATTTTTTTAATTATAATTTAATTTAAGTTTAATAATATAAGTTTATAAAGATAATAATTAAGTATCTGTTAGATGATTAATGATTATTCTAATTATATTTTAGATTTTTTATATTTAAAATTAGATGTTTATCTTGTATTTGATTATATTTATCTGCAGTTAGTTACAAGAATTCAAAGATAGAGCTTTAATAAGTTGTACTTGAACACAATCTACTTGTAATCATAAATTTTAAGTAATATGCATCAATAAATAGTACTTCATGCATAAAAAATAGTTTTTAAGAGTTCTTGTCAAATGCTTTATAATATAGTATAGATATATTAACTAAGAAACTATAATTATAACTTTTTACGATTAACACTTAATGTAAAAAAGCAAAATACATAAAAAAAATCAACAATAAAAATTGCGCTAAAAAAATTAATGAGGTCAAACATTATTTTTTTGGAGTCAAAAAATATATATAAATTTCATAATATAAAAAACAACTTTTTTGAAAACTTTATGGGGTCATTTGACCCCCAAATTAAACCATAAATACGGTTTACTCCCTATATAAACCCTTGCAAACCACACATTCATCATTGTCATCTTCTTGTAGGTGCTTTACTAACAATTTCCATGGCTTTTGTGCAACACAAATATTTTTTTATTTGTTTTATTATTTTTAACAGTTTACATTCTTTAGTTTTATCACAAAATGTACAACGGTTACCAGCTGTGGAAAGACTAACCGACCGCTTCCCTACTACGCTAATCACCCAAGGGATGGCTACGTTATATGGAGCATCAAATATTCGATTCAATGGATCTTATGTTGATATCCGTTTAGACAAAAGTGGTGGTAATTATACAGTACTAGAAAATAGTTTTTAATCCAAGTATTCTTTGTCATAAGTCACACACACACACACACACAGAGATAAATACACATATATATATATATATATATATATTGGTATTTATTCATCTTGAATGTCATGCATTTTTTCATCATTCATGATATTTATCGTAATTTATAAGTAGTTAATTCTTATGATCATTAAAATGTTTACGGTTCTGAAATAATCATGTGACATACATATAGTATTGTGTTCTTTCTTATTTATGTACGGTGTTTGTTGTGTTTAGGTTCTGGATTGTTTTCAAAAGACACCTACTACCATGGGTTCTTTAGTGTTTCGCTAAAGGTGCCCAAAGGGATTACATCTGGAGTAGTTCTAGCTTTCTATGTAAGTGTTGTTATTTTTAACCTGTAGTTGTGTTAGGGGGTGTTTGGGATTGCTTATCAAAGATTTTTTTTAACTTATTTCAGTCTGGTACAAGAGATAAGCTGTTTTTTAGTGTTTGAGTAAGGAAAAAAATTGTTTATACCAGTGTCAAACCGGTAATAAACAGTTTTTGATAAGTTAATCCTTCTTGATTTATGAAAAACTGCTTATTACCAGTTTACCATTTTAACCTTGTTTTATTAATGTTTGTTAATTATTAATCTTATTGATATAAATTTTTGTCAAAAATATTATTATAAATGATGAAAAATAAATTTTTACATGTTAAAAAATCAAATAAGTTAATAATCAAAAATATTATTGTATGGAAGACTGTCCTTTTTGGTCATTTTACATATATAAGCAAAATTTGCCAAAGACTAAAAAATAACTTATCAGCTTATTGCTTTTTGGTACCGCTATAAGCTAATCCAAACACTTTTTGCAAAACTCCGATTTAATACCACATAAGTTAATAAACACTTTTACAAAAACACATAAATTGTTTTAAATAAGTAATCCCAAACACCCCTTAGAAATAAATATATCTCATCTTCAATCATACCTTTATAATTTTTTTTTTAAATAAAGATGTAAAAAGTAACTTCTTTATATTATATTCTAACACTTTTTGAAGATTCTCACTTAATTATAATTTAATACATTTAATACCTACATAAACCTTATTTTTTTATATGTGTTAATTATATTAAATATTTTAATAATATAATTAATACTGTAATTTTTGAAATAGAAAAATTTTAAAGATAAAAGTAAGTTTTTTATATAGACTTTTAATTTTTTAGTTTAGAAAATCTATAAGAAATACACTCATATATATAGAAATATGTATGATGGGTTAGGTTCACGTGAGACCAAAGGTTTTTCATGAGACCCGTAAAACCAATTTATATTCATTGATCAAATTTATAAGCTAAAGATCTAATGGTCTAAAGTTGCGTGGTAACAATTTTGTGATTATTGAGAAGTCTCGTGTCAATTTTGTGATTATAAATGTTCAGATTATAAATTTCATCCAAGGGTTGAGAATTGATCTTATAAATCTCACGAAAAACCCTTGGTCTCATATGATCCAAAGTCAAAATGTATTATATATTCTTCAAAAAAATTTCTAATAAATAAAACTTGGACATGTCTTCTCTACCTACTTTATGCATTTTGAAGAAATGGTGGGGCAAAATTAAAACTTATCAAAGCCTCTACCTCTCATTCTCCATTTTTGGAGTAATTAATGTGTCATTTAATTTTTTTTGTTTTTTTCAACAAAATTTATTTTAGTATTATTTTAGGAAGAAAAACGTGTCATAATTATATTTGAAATTATGTTGGTATATTAAAAATTCTTAGATTTTAAGCTACTCTTATTATTTATTTTGGAGTGAATTTATTCATATTTCTTTTTTAAAATGAATTAATTATAATTGATTTTGTTGTTTCATGCATATATATAATGTGTCAGCTGTCGAATTCAGAAGTTTTTCAAAGTAACCATGATGAGCTCGACTTTGAATTGCTTGGACATGAGAGTAAAAGCCAATGGGTTCTGCAAACAAATATGTACGTAAATGGAAGTATCAGAGGACGAGAAGAAAGGATCCATCTCTGGTTTAACCCCGCTCACCATTTTCATCAATATTCCATTCTCTGGAACCGCCACCATATTGTGTAAGCCCTAACTTCACAAACACTAATCTGATTCTCATCAAACAAATTTCTATAAAGTTACTGTAATGTTTTTATATCATACATACTATTGTTTGCTTCTGTAAACTTAAGTTCTGTAAAACAGTTTATTAGGACATTTATATATTTTTGGTTTCCATGAACTCGATGTAATTTGTTGTATACTGTGTGTTAAGTTGTTTATGATGATCTAGTTAATCAATTTATAATTCATATTATTGCAGGTTTTTAGTAGACAACATACCTATAAGAGAGATACGTAACGCAGGATCCATGGCATATGCATACTCATTGAAGCCAATGACGCTTTATACAACCATATGGGATGGTTCGAATTGGGCAACAGATGGAGGAAAGTACCCTACAGACTATAAATATGCACCTTTTGTGGCGTCGTTGGGAGAACTAAAGATCGAAGGTTGTGTGGTATCGAGTACAAGCTTGCCGGTAGCTGCAGATGTTGTATGTTCAAATAATGCAACCATTTCAAACTTGGATCATGTGGAAGGAGCAGGGTATGCAACACTGTCAAAACAACAGACAACCGCTTTGAATTGGGTTAAGAGAAAACATTTGTTTTACTCGTATTGTAATGTCAATGAAAGAACGAAATATAGAGAGTGCTATGGTCACTAATTTATTGTAACTGAAAAAAGTTTACAAATCTATAAAATAATATTATATTGAGGATGAAGAACTCAGAGCATCCGAGTGGTAGAACCTTCAAGAATCCCATTTGTCATATTTTTCCTGCCAAATTACACAAATAGTAATTTTTATAAAAAGTAATACTAAATAATAAATAATGAAATAATTAAAAATTAAACTTATTAATATAAAAACTTGTATAAAAATTTACAAGAAAAGAAAAACGAAACGAAATTAAAAATTGTATTTTGTAATAATTAATCTATACTTTTTTGTATCAATTTTAGTTTATATGTTTTAAATATTTATTAAAACGTAAGAAAATAATTAATAAATAATAAAAATAATAACTAACTAAATAACAAAAAGAATGTATACAAGAACTCGGATTTTGGTTTAAGCACCTGAGTTCTAATAAGAACCTATAATTAGACAAAAATCTTTGTCTTATAGTTGAGATTCTTATAAAAACCTCAACAATAATCTTTAACAAGAACCTCTATTGTCGATGCTTTTGGAAAAAGGAGGGTCGTCCCAACAACAAATTGGCTCCTTACTTAATGTGTTTTTAGCTTTGGGTATTTTAGATCGATTTTTAGAGAAATTGGTGCGGAATATTTTCAGATTTTGGGGCTGTTGTGTTTCTCATCTATTTGACATGTTGGTTCCTTTAAGTCTTGTGTATGTCCTTTCGGAACATGCACATTTTAAGATGCAGTTTCCTTTGTTCTATCTGTTTAGCTTTTAGAGTACTCATATGTATGTTTCTTTTGGTTTTCAAAAGGGAGTTATAAGGTAAATTTCTGTTACATGGAGGCTATGGTCAATCTGATGATCATCAGGTCCGTTCTTGACATTTTATAGGCCTTGGATGAACGTAAAAAAACATGACCCACTGCAAGAAACAAGGCTTTTAGCAACAACTTTTGTCGTCACTAAAAATTCATTTATCATCAGAAAGAGTATATAACAACATGTCGTTGCCATAACTTGTGGTGGAAACATGTCATCGCTAAAAGACGCATCGTCCAAACTCACTTTTGTTGTAATGACCCTTAGTAAGTACAAAAAAAAAATCAATAAATGTTCTTCATTAGTATAAAATTGAATACAAGAAATACTAATAATTTAATGAGGAAATAAATCTTATTTATCTTTATTATAGATATACCAGAAGCGTACTCGTGCAATGTAGCGAGATACATCGTGATTTTAATATTTCATTTTAATTTTTATCTCAGTCGATGTTATAATATGGCTTTATGTGATTTTGAGAAAGCGATGATGTTTTTATTTTTGAATGAAATATATGTTTGAAGATATCATAAAAATTTGACAAAAATATATCGATATTAGTATCAAATTAACTATATGAAATTCCTCATTTTTGTGTAATTTTTTAATTCAATTTTTTTATAATTTAATTTATGTACAATAACGAAGTAATTTATTATTGATTTAATAATATAATTTTTTTATAAAGATAATAATTATTTATTTTGTTGGAACTCGATAATTATTCTAATTATATTTTAGATTTTTTATATT